CGTCATTATGGTGAGAGGCCATGACGATGAAGGTTCAGAAAGATAGCTTTAGTCTTTTGTTCGGGAAGATTGGGGAATCTTGGTTCAAAAAGACGGGGGAGCTGGTGTTCCTACAGACGGCGCCACAGATCTGGAGTGATCAGAATGAATCGTCTTAACCTTTGATGTAGGGCAGCAACAACGGTTGTAGGAGAGAATGGGGTGTACCTGCAAGGTACTCTGATACCAAAGTGAGTTTTTGGGTTAGAGAGAAAGCAAGTACGAGTGTTTAGGTATGAATGAGAATGATTAGAATATCTAACCCTCTCAATAGAGATGGTATTTATGAGATTCCCTACAGCGCAGGGCCAATGTCTCTCATGTGACCGAAATATCTGGCCGACCAATGAGAGACTGCCAGGTGGAAGATCTAGCGCGTGATCTTTGGCCTGGTCCAACTGTCTCCATGAATTTCGGAGGGGCAGTTGGTCGCGTGAATCGTCAAGCGCGTGAGGGGGATGTCCCCAACGGCTATATGCTCAACAATTATATTGTGCCCAACGACTATATTGTGCCCAACGGTCATATCGTATCTAACGACTATATTGTGCCCAATCTCCTTATTAGGCCTGGCCTTAGGTGAAACTGGATTGGATTTTGCCTAACTGTGTGGCATGTGCCAGTCTAGTCCAAAACACAATGAAAAACTTTCATAAATTTAGTAATATAAGTGATCGCATAGAATTTAAGTTTTCAATAATGATTCAAAAAACTTTCATGAAGTGACATAAGACACAACCAGTTAGATCCAAATAAAAATTAATGATGAGATGGTTATGGACTTATGAACAATTTTTGTCTATGCTACCATCATTTTATGCCCAAAATATTTATTAACTCTAATTCTATTTCAAATAGATAATTTAAGATATAAATGCTTTTATCTGTGTGAACGCACGAATCTTCTACTAATGTCTGCATGGATAATCATACTGTGATGAAAATTATTTTTATGTTTTTATGATAAAATGGTTTGTAGTATCTATAAAGAAAATAATAAATGTTATAAAAATATGTAATATATATATATAAAATTAGAGTTATAAAAATTTCTTAATATTATACTAGTAAGAAGTGAATATTATAAATTTCTTTATGTATTTTTAAGTATATAAAGTTCTTAATATATTTTTAAAAAATAAATTTTAATTATAATTTTTTAATAAATCCGTCTTTAAGAATTAATATTTCTTAATATAAATATTAATTGCAATTAAAAATATCATTACACATTTAATAAATTATTATTATAATAATAATTTTAAAAAATTGTGTAAATGTTCTAAAGTAGTATTTACAATTATAAATTATTTATAATTTTTTAACATGTGTAAATCTTATTTATTTAGTTTTTGTTTTAATGGTTTATGAGGATTTTAATTACTTCAATTTTGTTTTCTCTTAATATAAAAATTATATGGAACGGGAAAATAAAGTTATTAATCTAAATATTGAATAGTAGCGCAAATAAGTTTACTATTAATTCAAATATTTATGTAAATAATGTCAAAACAAAAATAATGTATATATATGAAAAAACACTACGCCAAAAATTGTTTCTAATAGCATTTTTTTCACCTTTAATAGCACTTAAAAGCGCTATAAAAGCCTCCGCTATTATAGATTTGATACATATAATAGCGCTTTGAAAACGCTATTAAAATGAGTGTTTTTAATAGCACTTCATTATAAATGCTATCATTGCCCTATTCCGCGCTACCATGCACCTTGTTTATGAAAGGATTTAATAGCGTTTTTTGAAGAAGTGCTATTATAGTCCTTGTATTTAATAGCGCTTTTTGAAGAAGTGCTATTATAGTCCTTGTATTTAATAGCGCTTTTTGAAGAAGTGCTATTATAGTTCTTGTATTTGATAGCGCTTTTTCTAAAAGTGTTATTGTAGACACTATCTTTAATAGCACTTTCTAGAAAAGCGCTATTAGTTCCCTTTATTTATTCTTTTAAGAAAATGAGATTTTATAACTCAATACTACAATAAATGGGAGGATTGAGTAGCAAAATTCATAACAATGTCTGTCCAGCAACTGACCATCCCATATCAGTAGATTTGCCCCCCATAACCATGTAATACTCAATATCTAAACAAAACTATTTGAGAAAGTAACCAATCTAGTAGATATCAAACTAATCTACAACAATAGCAAAAGAAACTCTTTACATGATAAAGTCTACCTTGCTAAAAGGTTAACACTGTCGGAGCAGATAGTACCCCATAACGCATAACATGAGAAAACTAAGTATGTAATGAATTTCGTATTTCCACTCAATTTGTGACCATTGAACAACTAGCTAGAACACGATCAGAAGTGGTAGGCATAGCTCTAAGATCCTTTCATTGGAACGCAAAGCGCAACAGGTGAGTCAAGCTCCAAACATTGGAACAAAATGAAAAAACAAGTTCTTCAACATATTAATCAACAAAATGAAAAAACAGCAAATGCACAAATCGGCATAATTGAGAAGCGTATCACATCTAGCATTTTAGTCTGCATCATACTATAACAATATGCATACATGGTTCATCAGAAAGTTTACCTGCATTGCGAATGCCAAGTGGATTGGTGTTGCTTCAGACCAAGGCCTTCCGATAAACTGAAGGCCAATTGGCAAACCCAATTTATCATATCCAACCTGTGATATATGAAATATAAAGCACACATATAGATATATAGCATATAAACAACATCTAAATTCTTGTATAACAAACACTACCGGAACAGTGACTGCAGGAAGTCCTAGGAAGTTTCTTGCTATAGAGTAACGAACAAGTGCAACTGGAATAATGGAAAACAGTTCAAAATGAAATGATACTACCGATTAATAACTTAAAAATAACAATTAAAGTTCAACAACCATATAAGTTTCATGTATACCTCCATTGACATAGTCAAGTTCACCGGTCTTCAAGGCGTCGTCTTGAATCGGATATGCTATCATGTTATTATAAATATATCATAAAATTGCATAATTAAGAAGAAAAAAAACTCTATGGTTAAAGTTAACCATTCTGTGAAGTTTGATATATCAGAACGAACCCTGTTGTTGGTGAGACAATGACATCTGCTTCGGCAAATATTTTCTTGTGAAACTGCAGTTGACGATTCCTGTTCACATTTAAGCAAGTTGCCATAAAAACAAAAACACTACTCATATTTTTGTTTACATGATTCGCAAACATTGAAACACAGACATTGGAACTGAAACGCCTTGTTTCACTCACCTAATTCTTTAAGCTTTGACATACTCGATGCCACTGAAAGCACCATAGATGCTTTGTGCTACCCTTACATCCCATCCTAATTCTGCAAAATTCCTATGGTAGTAATTAACCGATGTCAGAAGTTTTACTCTTTCAATCTAGAGAGTAATAAGGAGTAAAGTAAAGAGTTTATAAAGATTACATACTTTGCTTATCCTGATATGTTTGAAGAAAAAGAAAACCAATCTCAACCCCATGAAAATATATTCTGATAGCAAATTACAATTAGCACATAACTGCCAATCCAATTTTTCAATGAGCACACAAAACACATCAAAGTTGTTTGTCTTTTTGAATTATGAACTCCTCACAAGCAACATTTCAACTCATTGTGTGACTTAGTTAGAAAATGTACTTTATTTGTTTTGAAAATCTTTGATGTATTGAAAATCATACAGAATCTGAGAGATGTGAAAGAAAAAATAGCAATCTACAAAATCGACTTCAAAATTCAAACCAAAACAAGTTAAAATAGTTACTCCACAGTAAATCAAGAGTACACACATTCTTGAAGTTGTACTTCCCTATTTATACAAAACCCATAAACATTTCAAATCTTCATTTAAAAAAAATAATAAACATTCATAATCATACACTTTCATTCCATTGCCAAATCAAGTACATATCTTATCTTGCTTAGTAGTCCCAACTGAAAACACAAAAATCAACATTTATTCAAATCTTCAACGACAAATAAAATCAAACAAATGAAAAAAGAAAACAAAAATAGTAAACAAACTAGCTAAGATTATGTCCAACTCACGTGTAAATGCAGAAAGCTCTATACTCTTCAACACTCTAAGCCTTTTCACTGTTGATACAAACATACTGCCAAAAACATACATAACACATTTATTATATAATTTTATACTATAGTTTATTTGTATTATTTCTAAGAGAGGGGATGTCAAAACAGTGATTGATTTTGTGTATTTTAGGAAGGATTATATTTGTAGTAATTCTGTAATGTAACAGTTGTATCTTGCTAATTATTAGGTTTATTTATTTAGGATTAATCCCATAATCACAAGGATTTGTTTCCTTAGAATTAGTTGTCCATATTTCCTAAAATAGACCGCAGGCTCATGTGTATATATATATATATATATATATATATATATATATATATATATATATATATATATATATATATATATATATATATATATATATATATATATATATATATATATATATATATATATATATATATATATATATATATATATATATATATATATATATATATATATATATATATATATATATATATATATATATATATATATATATATATATATATATATATATATATATATATATATATATATATATATATATATATATATATATATATATATATATATATATATATGTCCTATGACCTCATAAGAAATACAATAAGAATTTTATTTCTTCTAAATTTAATAGGGGAAATAGAACAAATGTTGTGTTATGGCATGTAGTGTTACAAAATTATTCTCAACACTTGTCAAAACATAAATGGTTAAATATAATTAAAATATATATATGAATTGTTAAACACAAGGAATCTAACAGTATTGGAGTATATTATTATAAATTTTATTAGTATAATATAGCATAAGATTGGAAGTGATATTGAAGATGCTTACTGCCATGGGACATCACCAACAAGCATCCTGTCTCCTTCATTATCCTCCTATACAAGAGTATATTCTTCACTTCCATCCAATATTCCACTAACCACTTTTTCTTCATCTTCATTTTTCTTACTTCCATAAGAATCTCCTTGAGCTGTACACAATCAAAATTAATATTATAATCATAACATAATCAAGCGTTACTATAAATAATCATTATTTAAAATATGACACAAAACAATGTTATACCTTTAAGGAGTCCTCTAAAGATTTCATCCACAACTATGGAGAGATTTTCATAGATATGATAAGCTTTGAGATCAACTTTTCTACCAATAGGAACACCATCCATGTTGATTTTAACAAACAAACCTTTACCACCATAGTTGTTATCAATAGGTTTTTTACCAGCAACAACCTTGTTTTGATGTTGTGTCTGAGATTCAGTTTGTGATAATGGTTTAGAATTGCTACTTGTTGTTGCAAGATTCTTCCTGAAGGAACGAATTGGTGGCCAACCTACTACTGGTCCAGGAGCAGTTCTGTTTTTGGCAGGGTCCATACACAAAGATAAGCATGAAAAACATAGATAAAAGCTTTAAAAAAATTGTAAGTTTTAATTATATCAGTTAATGAAAATTTGCATGTTTTGGTGAAACAAAAGTTTCATGTATATATAAAAAGGCATATAGTAATTAATAATAGAAAAACATGATATAATTTTTTGCACTGAAAAGTGTAACAAAAGAACACTAGATCTATTACTACCACACAAAAAAACTGGTAGAAAGGAACAGAAGAGAAAACTTGCATGGACCACAACAGTAAGAAAAAAACAAAGTGACAGTGTGAATGAATATCCTCTGTCAAAAAGACAAACAACTTTGATGTGTTTTGTGTGCTCATTGAAAAATTGGATTGGCAGTTATGTGCTAATTGTAATTTGCTATCAAAATATATTTTCATGGGGTTGAGATGGGGTTAGTATGGTGACATCTATAATCTTGTATGTTTGAAGAAAAAGAAAACCAAGTTAGCGAGTAATAGCTCTTCTGTTTCTCGATTTTGGATTCGGCAATTGTTTTAGAAGTGATTCAGTAATTGTTGTAACATAATTTTTATATTATTCAATACCTTCCCGTTGTAATGATCTTGAAGCTTTAGCAAAACTAGGGAGCAGCATACGCTGATATCATTACTACAATCATCAAACCACTAATTGATCGAAGTAGTGGTTAAACAACATAAATAATGTTAGAAAAACCTACTTTTATAATCCACGGAATTGATAATGCGTGTTTATATCTGGAAATTAAGTGTCTAACCTTTCCATATTTCGCCAACCTGATGGAAGATATGGACTTCGTCAAGCTTAGTCTTGGAAGATTTATCTTTGTCTGAAGCATTACAAAAAGGTTTTAGAAGTTCAAAGAGACTATAAAAAGTGTATATCTAATCAGAATCGTGATAAACGATCAAAATCTTTACCAATACGCTGGAGGGTGGATGTGATGGAATTTCGCCACTGAGAGATGCATAACTATAAATAGAAAAACAACAGATGCTATAAAACCAATCTATCAGTTTATTGAAGATAAAGTGTCACAGAAATAACTACTAACACTATCAGCACATCCTCGACCGTGCTTGCTAATATTCCAACCATTCCAACTGTCCAGTTTATAGGAAGAACTCTGGATATAGCAGAAGGACGTTCTTGTAAATCATAGTTACAAATTTTCTAGTATTTAAACATGATGCAACAAATGAATACCTACCTTGTTGCTACTGCGAAAATCGGCGCCGGCTATGATAGAAGAGTCGCCACCGCGCGTTATTTATCCCAAAGGAGGGAAAGGAAACGCTCGAAGTAAACCTAACGCAAAACGGGAAAGGAATGGTCATCACAACCAAATTCCTGGATTCGGGAGTCGATTACGCAAGGGGAAGGTATTAGCACCCCTCACGTCTGCCGTACTCGACGGGATCCACGCTTGTTTTCTAGTACGGATTGTTATTCTATCTACTCTACAGGTCTGGGTTAAAAAGAAAAGAAAATGACTCGGCAAAGTATCGCACTTTATGCCTACGTATTCCCGTCTGGAACGAGAAATCAGAGTCAACGTAGTTCGCCTACCTACGGGAAAGGAGGGGAAGGTTGCTCGCTAGGATACGACATCCTATGCCTACGTACTTTCATACAGCATGAAAGATCAGAGCAAACGTAGTTCGGGCTACGGGAGACACAGATTTGTCTGACTGTTTTTATCTTTCTGAAAAGAGGTTTCTTCTGATTAAGAGTCCAAGCGGACAAAAATGACACTTTTGATGTTTGTTTTCAGTCTTTTACGCAAGAAGTGTTTTTTTATGATGTTTGTAATCTCTGACGCACTAGAGACTATGATTCGAGGGTGACTACGTCGTATGTCACCCTAAGGGTAACACACTAAGCAGTCAGATTACTGAAGAGTGACCCTCCAGCAACCCTCTCTCAAATAGCTTAAGGCTCGTAGCGTACGACGTCGATTATCCTTATCACTGTGTTTTGAATTTGTTTGAGATAGAAGAGAAAGAAGTTCTAAAAAACCTAGGGTTGAAAAGGGAATAAAACTAACCTAATGTTATCATGCATGGATCACAACCTAATGTCTGTCATAATTCCCTCCTGCACAGAGGAAATCAGAGATCCTAGGGGATAAACAGCAAAAGAAACAGATATATACAGTAAACAGTAAACATGCATGAGATGCAGCAGTACAAGCGAGGCAAGGGAGTCCCACTCAACCTCGAACCTGGGAAAACAATAGGCAAAGTGAAATAGCTTCACTTCAAACCTAAAGGGGTAAGCTGAACAAACCAATAACAATACAGAAAAAGAAATAAAACCCAACACCAACTCTGACAGCAACACCAGCTCCTACAGTAAGCAACTCAAACAGCAACAGCTCTGACAGCTACAGTTGATTAACAGCAAAAGGGTTGACAGCAACAACTTCAAGCAAGACCCCATCTTCAATCTTCAATGACCCCCAAGCTTTAGATAAGCTCCTGGCTTCAAAAATCTCCAAGCTCTAGCAAGCATGAACCTCAACCAGTAGACAGCTTCAATCAGCAGTAAAACCCTAGTCTTCAACAGATAACCAACTTTGATAGGCACAAGCTTCATCTTTACCGATCTTCACTGAAATTCATCTTCCATAGGTTTCCATCTTCAATGCAATCACTCCAGAAGAGAATCAATTATCAGATTAAATTGAGATGTTTAAGAGGCTCAGTGACAACCCAAGGAAATCACTAAGATCTTAACATAGCAAGTGAAAGGTATCCTCAAGGTTCTACCCAACCAAAGCATGCTCTACATCCCTCCTAAGGAGAGATGGAACTTCTTTGGGGGACCTTGTGTCATGGGATGGAATAGAGGCACAAGAAGCTCTTTATGTTTGAAAGAAGTAACAAGACTACTCTAATGCTCTTCCTATGTATCCTAACTCCTAAGCCTCTGACAAACCCTCTAACAAAAGAGAAGTCTTCAACTCCAAGCTTCTTCAAGCCATCCAAAGCAACTTCCTTTGATCCTCAAGTCCTCCAAGCAAAGCCCAAGCCAAAAGCACTCCAAAATAGCCCCACACAAGCATAACCAAATCCAACACCCAAAGGAGAAACCCAAAATCAACACACAAGTTGCAAAAATCAGAAAAATGCTAAAACTTATCAGAAAATCCTAGGTAAATTTCTAAGGGAACCTAACCCTATACCCAATACCCCATAGGAATCCCAAACCCTAGATCAACCATCTAAACCTCAAACTATGCACAACACTACAACTATTTGTCTTGAAACCCTAATTCTAACACCTCTCCTATTCACCTCTCAAACTAACCTAAATTTTATTCACAAAATTGTGATAAAATTTCTAAGGTTACATGCTTCCCTAATCTAATCAATCCAACAAGAATCAACTCAAAATCATTCACCAATCAGTCACAATAAAATCCACAAAATCATGTAACAAATATACCAAATTTAAAGAAATAATAAAATGGGAAAATTCAAATTAAATTGAAAAATGGGTGAAAATGAGATTTATTAATTTCATAAAATCACAAATAAATCCAAGATCATGGAGGTATTTTTAAAATATTTTTTGGATCAATATTGGATTTATTATGAATTTTAGAAATCAAATGGAATAAAAGAAAATATTAAAACAATTAAAAAATGAATTAAGAAAATAAAACTGAAGATAAAACGTGAGCCAATGGATCATAAGACTGGTAATCAGATCCAAGAGTTGAGGGCACGTCCACGTAGGTTGCTGACTGGGGATGACCTGGGCTGCCACCTCAATTATTGAAACGGGGCGTTTTGGCAAAAGAAGGCAATCTCTGAGTTTGAATCGTGGCCCTTGGATGCGTGAGAATGTCAACAAGTCAAAGTGATCTGAGGGTTGGGACCTCATCTTCCCCACATGAGCTCAGGTGAAGGTCAAATATCCAGACGGTGGTCCGGTGGTGCAACCACCGTCTTCTCCGGCGAAGCAAACCCTAAACCTCACCAATCAAGTCAAATAAAAACCCTAATCTGCTCCAAATTTCACCCTGAACTCAAATCCACCATCAAAAATCATTGATTCACCCTCAAAAGCTAAACCCGATCAAAGTTGCAGAGAAATCACCAAGCCTCGATGGTCACCATTCTTGAAATTAAAGGTACTAACATGAACTACACGTTACACTGATCAATTACCATCATCTAAACACCATTAATCCTCCAAGAATCACAAGAACCAAGCTCAAACAGAAATTGATCATCCATCTTAATTGTCACCAATCAACTCCAAACCAATCCAGAAACGTTCCTTATCATCTCTAGGTCCTAACCACATGCACATTCTAAGATAATTCTCCCTAGATTATGAAGAAATTCAAGAAGTACATACCTGTGAAAATGGGATCAACAGAGGTAGAAAATGATGGATTCAAGCTGTGAAACTCTTCAAACACGATCAATGAAGCAAGGTAAAGCTTTCCCCACCCTCAATTTGGCTTGAATGTGCCTTGAACTCCAAAACCGATTCTGAGTTGAAGCTCTTGAAACTCAACTTCAATCTTCCTCTCCTTCACGAATTCTGCACCAAACTGAATCTGAATTCACTCTAGAGCTTAAATGTGAAATGTTTGTGGGCTTATCCAATCCAATTCAGGCCCAAATCCATTGATCCAAAATTCTGATTTTCCTCTTGAAAATGCAATGTATCAGTTACAATTCTGAGCTTCCAGATTGCTCTAGAAGGTTCTATCCAACTGCAAATTAGTTATGGAGTGTGTTTAGGTAGTTAGCTTGGCCTGAATTGCCCTGATTTTTGTTTTGGCATTGTGACTTGTAATGTAAGTAAGCACTTTTATAAAGGAAGTCATGAAATTAACCCTCAACTCAAAAATGTGGAAATTTCATTGTTTCCAAAATATGTTTTCCAATCAATTTGGTATGTCATATGGACTGGTTTGGACCTATAGCTCAAAAATCTCAATTTTCCTCTTTGGTTCATTTAAAATCCATCCT